AATATATAAAAAATAAAAATTTAAAAAACAAAAACAAAGAGAAATATGGTATCAAATAACAGGAGAGAGACTGCACCAGTAGGAAAGAAAGAATCGGCTCCAAGAGTGTACCAGGAGACACCCAAAACGGGAATAGAGGAGGTGGATTCTATGACAGCAGTGAGAGCAGATGGGACTTTACCAGCATTAAAAGCAATGGCCAGATGTTGGAGAAACAATTGCTAGTGGCCCAGAAGCAGTCATGATACTGTGATGATTAGCAGATGACACAGCTGAAACACTGAGCATAGAAAAAAAATGGCTCTGCTATCCATAGCAATGATTACTTTTTAATTACTAGAGGCTGAAAACCCAGTGAGAAGGAGATTTCCATAGACCAGGTGTTACAAAACAACAAAATGGAGAAAGGATTTAATGATAGGTCAAAAAAGGATACTCAGGTACCTAGAATTAAAGCTCTTTCTAGATGATTTAACAGGAGAGAAAGACCACCTTGTAGTGCTGTGGTTAAAGAGCTCGGCTCCTAAACAAAAGGTCAGCAGTTCAAATCCACCAGCTGCTCCTTGGAAACCCTGTGGGGCTGTTCTACCCTGTCCTATAGGGTTGCTGTAAGTCGGAATCCACTCAGTGGCAATGGGTTAAAGACCATCTTGTCAGTAGAGGGACCATGTATGTCCTGTACTCAGTAGATTAATACCTTATTATCTGTACTCATGCATTGATGTTATTCATTCCTTGATTTGTTCAATAATTACTATTGAGCATCTAATATGTGCCAGGGTATCCCAATAAACAAAATAGACAAAAACACTGCCATCATGATGCTTATTTTCCAACATACATAGAATGTCATATGATGACAAAGCCTATGGAGAACACTAAAGAAGAGAAGAATGGGGGTGCCTGGGAATGGGTATGCCATGTACCCTTACTTTAGCCATATTGTGTAGGAAGTACAACATAAGTACAGTCTTCTTATTTTTGCACACAAAGCTCCTCTTATCCTTCCTTTTCCTTTCCTTCAATCATCTTATCTAATGCCCTGGCTTTCACTATTCATCCTATGTCATATCATTTACCCTCAAACCTGTATGTTTACGTCTAGACCTTTCTTCATGTCTTCTGGTTACATATTCCAGCTTCCTATCAAACCTCTCAACATTGGTTATTCCATACGCATTCTAAACCCAACACATCCAAAATCAAACATATCTTCCCTCTAAAACTTCTTCCTTCTCTTTTTTTTCCCTGTTACTGTAGTGACATAACCCTAAACGCAGTCATCTGAGTCATAAAAATCAATCTCCCTTGATTCTTCCTTCTCTCTTAACCTATACCTCTAACTGGAAACCAGCCCTGTTAAGTTTTCGTTCCAAAATGCTTCTAGAATCTCCTTCATTCATTTATTCAATTACTCTGTCAACTTCAGCAAAGGCCTGCTGTTTTTCAGACACTATGTCATGTGCTGATAATACAAAAATAAATGAGAAAATGAAATAGTAGAGGCTAACATAGAAACAGATAAATTTTCATAACAAAGTGTAGGCACAGGGAGAAGCAACCAACTAGCTGTGTCTGAGAGACTCAGAGTGATGGCAGTGGTTGAGCTGGTTCTGAAGGAGGACTACCTGCAAAGCAGAAAAGAGAGTAGATAGAGGCATAGCATTTTCAAAGGACTGGGTGTGCGTGGAGAATGGTGAGAAATTCAGGTGACTGCAATGAAAGTGCACCAAGTGGATTGTAGGGCACTGTCACACCTGGTTGCTTGGGACTTCATTCACAGAGGTGAAGAAGAAGGCCAGAGAAACATGACATGCCTGCAAGCTATCCAGGCTGATTATCCAATAACAGCTGGAAATAGAAACTGAAGTTGAGAAGAAAGGTCAGTGTTGGGGATAAAGATTGAGAAATCATTAGCATGATGATCATTGAAACTATGGAAATGGATGATGAAACTTGGAGAGCAAGAACGTAGGAAAATGGAAGACAACCAGTTCCCGTTCTTTTGCATTTCCTCCCTCCCCTGCCCTTGTCCACTCGTCTTCCTACCTTGAGCCTCTTCTCCCACAATCTTCCTCTAAATCCTGCCACAGGAGTTTACTTAAAGTACGGTTCTGAACATGCTAATCTCCAATCAATTACCTTTAGAATAAAGTGCAGACTCCTTAGCATTGCATTTAAAGCTCTTCATGGTTTGTGCCATATGTACCATTTCATCTGCATTTCCCAGTGTTCCCTTCTAACCACGTCAGACAACACGATAACCCTCAAATAGGTCATCTGCTTTCATCTCTAGCTTTGCCATGCCATATCCTCTGTCCAGAAGTAACAGAACATGGGCTTTGGAATCAAGAGATATATATTTTTTAAATACTGACTGGTTCTTCCACTAGAGGTGCTAGCTTGTTTAATCACTCTGCAATTTGTTTAATCACTCTGTATCTGTTTCCTCAAATGCTAAGAGGTCATGTTGGACTATTACAATTGTAATAGCATATTTACACACTTTATAGTTGTCAGCACAAAGTAGGTGCTCAATAAAAATTAAATACTTTTTATTACCATCCACTTCTTCTCCATTTGCCATAGTCATGTTCCAAAGCCAGATTTTTAAAGCATTACACCTTCTTGAAACCTTTAAAAATGTACTTGACCAGAATTCATTTTGCCCTCCTCTATTCTTCCTTGGTTGGGAGGCCATTGCAGTAGTCCACGTAAGAGATAATATTGGATCCAACCAAAGTGGTAGCAGTGGAGGTAGTGAGAAGTCATTATAATCTGGATATATTTTGAAGGTAGAGCCAAAAAACTTTAAACATGGATTGGATGTAGTATGTGAGAGAAAGAGAGGATTCAAGGATGACTTCTAGGCTTTTGGCTTGAGCAACTGGAAGGGTGGAGTTATCTTCAAATGAGAAGTAGAGGCCTAAGGATTGAAGTTTATTTGGGGCATGCTAAGCTGATGACAGGTCAAATAAGGTGAGGCATAGCCATCAGCCAGCTAAATTTTGTGATCTTTTCCATAACAATATTCAGTAACGTAAGTTAAAAGGGCATCCCTCATTGGGACAGATTTTTTACTTATCGTGCTTTCTTTCTTATTATTTGAAGAGTCTTCATCAGGCTTGAGTGGGCTTTTAAAAATAAATACTTAGGAAAGGAGTAGCCAAGATTGGAATTCAATTTCCTGGCTTCTTTTCCAATATCTGAACTACAAAACCAGACTGAATCCCAAGATCCCATTTTCCTTGGCAATCTAATTCATTTTTCCAGAGATGTTTTTCTTCATCTCCATTTATTTCCTTTCATACATTCTTCAACCTTTGAGAGAAAAGAATCTTACTGCCCAGTTCCTCTCTTCACTGTCCTTCCAGAAGCTGAAAACATGCCCTGGAAATTGAACAGAGCATCCCCTTCCCAAAATGCCTGAAACATAATAGTGTAGAAGGCTGGACAAGTGTGTAGATCCTCATTGCATTCATCATGCAGATTGCTTTCTACATTCAGTTGCCCTTTAGTGATTATAAGTGGTTTTGAAGAGATGACCCTCTTGGCTGCCTTCCTTGCGCTTACCCAAGGTTCTAGATAGAATGACATGGGTAGAATGATGGTTTTGTTTTGTTTTGTTTTGTTTTGTTTTTTCCCTGTCCTGATTAGCAAGAATCCTTTCTCTTGCACAATCATTTTTACCTCTTAATCTTAGGCTTGCAATCCTGTTAAATTTGCCAATCTTGATATGGCTATATTTTAAATTATCTGCAAATTTTACATCTATAATAAGACTGTGCATTTCCACAGATCCATGGGAAAAAATATATGTTACTTGGAAATAAATCTAAACTATGGCCTTTTTTTCTGAAGGTCTTGTGTACTGTATTGTTTTTAATCATAACATTTTAAATTGGCACACTCTTTCAGAAAGCGTTTTCACTATAATTATTACGTTTGTTTTTATGCTAGGAAGGAAATGCTGATTACATATATTGTGTTTCCTGTGTTTTGCAGGACTCGAGAGGGACAAGTTTGATAACAAAACTGTTTCATTTGAAGAGCACATTAAGTCAGAACACAGTATGTGGCATTATTTGTACTTCATCGTCCTGGTGAAAGTTAAAGACCCAACTGAATACACTGGACCTGAAAGTTATGTGGCTCAAATGATTGTGGTGAGTAATCAGAGGGTTTTAATCTGTGACTATATTGCATTTTAGATGCTTTCACCTTCTCTACCCTACCTTCTCCCCAAATACAAAGGTTGTAGGAATTACTTTGTTAACTTTTAAATAGAACTGTCAATCACTGAAGAACCCCTAGATTGGTTAAATCATTGGCTCCCAGTATATTTCTTGGTTATACGAGTCTCAACTACCCAGATGTTATCTATGAAATAATTCTCTGTGCAATGAAGAGCACAGTTTTAGTATCTCTATCATCTTTTGACTTCATGCCTCCTGTCATTGCTGATGTTCCAACTCAACAAATCTGGAGCTTTCTTATTATCAACTATGAACAGAAAATTTATACTTTGAGAGAATCTTTGAATTTAGAAAATCAAGAGTTTAAGAAATTAAAAATTGTGTTTGGGAACAGAATAATGCTCAATCCGAATGGGAGAGCACTGGTTTCCTATCAACGTACACTTGAAATTGATTTAGCATTATTGGTGATGGATTTGCATTTGTTCCTGCCATATAAATTGCTTATAATTCCTCGTTGAGATCAGTAGCATTGCTTAGAGTGTGGTTATCTATGATTTGAAGTTTTTTCTGTCTCATAGAAAACTAAAACTAACTGGCCTGCAGGGAAGCCAAAGTTACAAGTTTAGCATACCAAGATACACATTTAGTGACTCTCACAGCATCTGATTTAAATTACTGTATTCTTACAATAAACGTGGAGTCCCTGGGTGTGCACACAGTTAATGCACTTGGCTGCTAACTAAAAGGTTGGAGGTTCAAGTCCACTCAGAGGCACCTCAGAAGAAAGGCCTGGAAATCTACTTCTGAAAAATCAGCCATTGAAAATCCTGCGGAACACAGTTCTACCCTGATACACATGGGGTCACCATGAGTTGCAGTCAACTTGACAATTGATTGTAAACATAGCTGTGTACTGTATTTTTCTCCTCAAAAATCATCCTACAAAAATGGAATTCATTATATGAGTATGAGGCTTTAGAAGAGCATGACCCTCCTTGCTGCTTTGTCCCAGGGATAACATTTAGTGAGCACTAATTTCGCAGAACACTGTAAGTGTCAGGAGAGATAGAAAACAGTGGCGTGTATCCTTCCCTCTGAGAGCTTATGATCTACTTAGGAAGACATAAACTACAATATGAGGAGCAACCAGAGACCGAAAGATGAGCCAAAGATGCCTGACATTGTGAGCCTGCTCATTGGGAGGAAGGTGGTGTATCGGTTTTAGAAAGTAAACTTGTCACGAGGAGAAGCTGGTCAGAGTAGAAGACTTGTTGGTCTTGAAGTGAGACTGGAAGGCCAAGAGTCGTGGGTTGGGAGAAACAGTTTAGTGACAACAGTGTTTGCCTTGGAGCCAAAAAGATCTAGGTTCAAACCTTGGCTCTGTCACTTATTGGCTGTGTGATCTTGGATATCTTGGATGAGCCTTTCAGCTTATTTGAGCTTCTGCCTCCATCTCCTCATCTAAAATCGGGAAAATGCTACGTCTGTCAAAGGATTGTTGTGAGATCAGTGACATGATATGTACAAAAGTGTTTTGCACAGTATAGGTATTCAGCAAATTACATATGTCAATGTCCACATAGAATTAAAATTGAAGCCATCAGATTAGAGAAAGGCAGGAGAAGGGAGGAAGTACAGAGAGAAGGGAAAACCAGAGGCAGAACCTGGGGTACCGTCACCCCTCCCCCATTTTGGAAAAAAAGAAAGTTCAGTAAAATAAATAGAAAAGAAGGCAATAAAGAGGAAGAGGAGAAACAGGAAGTGGAATGTGCCAAAAGCCAAAAAACAAAACAAAACCCAACCAGTTGCCTTCGAATCAATCCCAACTCATGGTGACCCAATGTATTGCAGAGTAGAACTATGCTCCATAGGGTTTTTAAGGCTGTGACCTTTCATAAGCAGACTGCCAGGCCTTTCTTCCCAGGTGTTTCTGGATGGGTTTGAACAGCCAACCTTTGTTTAGTACTTGAGTGCTTAACGGTTTGCACCACCCAAGGACTCCTTGCCAAAAGCCAAGAGGCAAGCATTTCAGGGTCAGAGTTCAACAGTATCAATTGCTGCAAAGAGGCCTTTAAGAACAGACACGTCAAAGTCTTCGGAGTTTGCAGTGAAGAAATCACCAGGTGACGTTTTACCATAAGAGAAGGCTGCTGTGAAAATGTCACCTATCTTTAGCCTTCACATTAAAACCAGCATTTTACCAGTTACTGGTTCACTGGATGTTTTGTGTATCCATGTACTTATCCATGTTTCTGCCCATCCCTTCTGTCTGCGCTCTCTCCAGAACCAGGACAGGAAGGTAAGAGCTCACAAATTTATTCCAACATGAAATGCCTCATCCGACCAGTGCACACCCAAGGCAGCTGGTCCCATTCCTAAATTGCAATGACCACGCGATAGAAGAGTGATATTAGCTTAGGTGTGATGGAAACAAAAAGTCATTCCCATGGAAGATTCTTTATTTCCTGTAATAGCCTTTTTGGAAAACTTCTAAAAGTCTGTAGCTGATGAACTCAATTCAGAAAATCTGTTACCTTAAACTCCAAGGAGATTATGGCCTTGTAATTCTGATCCTCCTGGAGCAAGGTTAAGATTCTAGAGCACATAGAAAGTTGAAGCGCATCTGCAGCTTAATTCAAAGGCTCTATATTTTTATCTCTCCACCCCAGAGGTAACTACTCTGAGTAATTTGGTGGGAAAACTTCTAGCCATTTTCCTGCCACTTTCCTTTATGCTTCTTAAAAATAGCTTCATTTACAAAGTTGATTTAGGTGTGTGTGTTTATCAGTAGAGCTTTGGAAGAAGGTTTAAATGTTTAATAATTGATACAGATGTTACCCTCAGGATTTATGCAAAAGAAAATGAGGATGTTCCTCACATTTGTTCCAGATTTAAAAAAAAAAAAGCTGCTGAATTCTGCTACAATGTTTAATTAAATCTTATTTGTACCTTGGGATCCTTAGGAAATACCTCCTGATTTTGGTGAAATGGGAAAAGCAAGAATATAACAAGTTTGGTGGATATTTCTTCCTCTCTGTATATTTTTTCACCTCCAGTACTTCAACTTTATACTTTATTATCGTGTCAGTAAGGAATATTTATATCAATATTCATTAAAACATACATTATAAATAAAGTAATACATTGCTTCTAGAAATTAGGGTTTTATGAAATATATTTGTGCCTCTGCATCCATCTAGTAGTTCAAAAGTCTGAACTATTAACAGAAACTCCATATTGCCTTACCCCTGCTTTCCTTCACACCCTAAACCAAGCTTTTTAAATATCCAATGTCAGAATGTCTGAATTCTGGCATATGGTTAGGGAGATGTGGATAGATCAAGATATTGTAGGAATGTATTTTCCTCAGACAAGCACACCCTCATCTTTTGATAAGAGAATTGATATTTCGAGCTCATATTTATTTGGAGCAGAAAATGAAAAGGGGAAAGGAGGGACCATACAAGAAAGTAAAAATAATGAAAGAGATTTCAATAAATTAGAAGCAAGGGTATAAATGTATAAATCCTCCAGCCCAAGCTAGTAGTGGCCTTTGAGCATCACTAAGCCCTTTTTTTCTCCCATTACCCAAAAGATGATAACTGAGGAGGAACAAACAAAATAGAGATCATTAGAAAAAAATGCCCAAGGCTTTCAGATGTTTCTCTAACATTTTGGGGACATTTTCAGATTTTCAGTGTTCATTTGCTGAGATATGTTAGGGACATTTGTGGATATTTATTACTTAAATTAACAAACAGCAGGACCAAACCAGGGGTGCTTGTAAGAGCACGTACTGTGCATGGGTAGAGAACTGCTGCTTCCCTCGGCTGCTCTGGTGGTACCAGGCCTACTCTCGAGACCTTGGCTGACATTTTCCCTAGAGGACACTGGATATTTAGGGATCATCAAAAAACAGTTGCTGTAGAGTTGTCTCTGACTCATGGTGACCCATGTGTGAGAGTAGAACTGTACTCCATAGGGCTTTCAATGGCTGATTTTTCAGAAGTAGACCACCAGGACTTTCTTCTGAATCACCTCTGGGTGGACTACGAACTTCCAATCTTTTAGTTAGCAGCCGAGTGCATTAACCATTTGCACCACCCAGGGATCATGTCCAGATCACCCTAAGTAGAGAATCATATCCTCCTCTTAATGCATGGCACTTTATAGCTCTTTCACCTACTTGGCTCTTGACAAAAAAATGTTTCCTGACATCACAGTGATGTTGTCAATTTGGACAATTTAACTCATGTTTTTATTAACATAATAATTTTCTGTCTTAACACAAAAAATAATTGTAAGCTTCTTGAAGGCTACAACCAGGTATAGGATAGCTCTTTGTTCTGTGCCATACCAGGGCAGATAATGTCTGTAATATGTATTAAAAGCAACTCAATAAACATTGAGTGCTTCCTGTATGCTAGCAGCTGTGCTAAGGGTTTGATATATAAAGATAAATAAAGAAATAGTCTCTTCCCTGAGGAAGTTCAAAACATTTATTGAATGAATAAATAAAATAACAAGTGAATTAATAAACTAACGGTCTCTTAGCCCTCAGATAGTTGGATTTAATTTACAGAAAGATACACCAAAATAGGTACAAGAGATTGGAACATGAATCTCATTAGTCCAGTGCCATCCTTCAACTCTTTTAAAATTGGAAGATAAAAATGCAGTAGGAAGGGTTATGCCACCTGAACCAAATACAATGAAGGCAATATTAAAAGTCAGGTGGCTGGTTTGAGAGATGAGGGCTTTAGTCCCTCTGTTGTCTCTCTCACTGTGTCTCAAGCCCAGGCCCTCTGTCCGTGCACATGTCCTCAAGGAATGTGCCTTAAGCTGCGTCTCATAGCAAAGGGAGGCCGATGCCCCATCAGGTTTGTCAGCCTACCCACCTTTAAGAATGAGTTCTTCCTTGTAATCAGCTGTTAAGACCTCAGAAAGAGAGGGAGTGTCCTTTTAAT